TACATGTGTCTTTTGAAGGTATCCAGTAGCTAGCAGTCTTTGAGTTAACTAGGCTGAGTCCCCCAGTATAGCAGGAGAAACTAGAGCAGTTGATAGGTGGGCTGTCCCAAATGGCAACCTATTCCTTACATAGTGCACTTCTTTCAACCAGAGCCCTATGGGCCCAGCTCAAAAGTAGTGCACTATATAGTGAATAGGATGCCATTTGTGACACATGCGTGGTGTTGCTGTTTCATGTCATGTTACAGTGAGGAGCGTCTTAGACGTTAGACAACATGGCAGACAGAAACAGGACTAAATGGGATCCCCTTCATCTCTCCCATTGTTCCATTGAAATGTTCCATATTGACTGACCTTCATGTCTTAAAGTAATGATGGACTGTCGTTTCTCTTTGCTTATTTGAGCTGTTCTTGCCATAATATGGACTTGGTCTTTTACCAAATAGGTCTGTCTTCTGTATACCCCCCTACCTTGTCACAACACAACTGATTGGCTCAAACACATTAAGAAGGAAAGAAATTCCACAAATTAACTTTTAACAAGGCACACCTGTTAATTGAAATGCATTCCAGGTGTCTACCTCATGAAGCTGGTTGAGAGAATGCCATGAGTGTGCAAAGCTGTCATCAAGGCAAAGGGTGGCTATTTGAAGAATCTCAAATATAAAATATACTTTGATTTGTTTAACACTTTTTTGGTTACTACATGATTCCATATGTGTTATTTCATAATTGTGATGTCTTCACTATTATTCTACAATGTAAAAAATAGTAAAAATTAAGAAAAACCCTTCAATGAGTAGGTGTGTCCAAACTTTTGACTGGTAGTGTATGTTCACATTAAGTTTATTGATGTTTATTGAAGTTTATTTAATTGACAATGTGTGTTTTGCCAGCATTCAGATGTCTTTGGGTGTTGATGGTCTGAATGTATGGTCCCAGACCTATTGCATGCTGGTTAATATTCAGATGTCCTTGGGTGTTGATGGTATGAATGTATGGTCCCAGATCTATTGCATGCTGGTTAATATTCAGATGTCCTTGGGTGTTTATGGTCTGAATGTATGGTCCCAGATCTATTGCATGCTGGTTAATATTCAGATGTCCTTGTCCCAGACCTATTGCATGCAGGTTAATATTCAGATGTCCTTGTCCCAGACCTATTGCATGCAGGTTAATATTCAGATGTCCTTGTCCCAGACCTATTGCATGCAGGTTAATATTCATATGTGACCAGGTACTGTATAGTAGGAGCAGTGATAATTCTATACAGTCAGAGGTGAGGAAGTGAAGGGTTTTTAGCAATAAGGATTCTATACAGTCAAAGGTGAGGAAGTCAAGTTTTTTTTTAGCAGTAATGATTCTATACAGAGGTGAGGAAATGAAGGGTTTTTAGTTGTACGAGACATTGGCACATTTTATCAGAGACATTTACATAACTTTATTAACATATTTCTGTAGTTACATTTCAAAATCACTCCACTCTGCTGCACTGAAAGACAAGACACATCCAAGCAGATAGTAGAATAATTCCCTGTTGTGTCATTACCCAGTCTAGGTAGATAGTAGAATAATTCCCTGCGGTGTCATTACCCAGTCTAGGTAGATAGTAGAATAATTCCCTGTGGTGTCATTACCCAGTCTAGGTAGATAGTAGAATAATTCCCTGTTGTGTCATTACCCAGTCTAGGTAGATAGTAGAATAATTCCCTGTGGTGTCATTACCCAGTCTAGGTAGATAGTAGAATAATTCCCTGCGGTGTCATTACCCAGTCTAGGTAGATAGTAGAATAATTCCCTGTGGTGGCATTACCCAGTCTAGGTAGATAGTAGAATAATTCCCTGTGGTGTCATTGCCCAGTCTAGGCAGATACATACAGTGGGGCAAAAAAGTATTTAGTCAGCCACCAATTGTGCAAGTTCTCCCACTTAAAAAGATGAGAGAGGCCTGTAATTTTCATCATAGGTACACGTCAACTATGACAGACAAATTGAGAAAAAAAAATCCAGAAAATCCCATTGTAGGATTTTTAATGAATTTATTTGCAAATTATGGTGGAAAATAAGTATTTGGTCACCTACAAACAAGCAAGATTTCTGGCTCTCACAGACCTGTAACTTCTTATTTAAGAGGCTCCTCTGTCCTCCACTCGTTACCTGTATTAATGGCACCTGTTTGAACTTGTTATCAGTATAAAAGACACCTGTCCACAACCTCAAACAGTCACACTCCAAACTTCACAATGGCCAAGACCAAAGAGCTGTCAAAGGACACCAAAAACAAAATTGTAGACCTGCACCAGGCTGGGAAGACTGAATCTGCAACAGGTAAGCAGCTTGGTTTGAAGAAATCAACTGTGGGAGCAATTATTAGGAAATGGAATACATACAAGACCACTGAAAATCTCCCTCGATCTGGGGCTCCATGCAAGATCTCACCCCGTGGGGTCAAAATGATCACAAGAACGGTGAGCAAAAATCCCAGAACCACACGGGGGGACCTAGTGAATGACCTGCTGAGAGCTGGGACCAAAGTAACAAAGCCAACCATCAGTAACACACTACGCCGCCAGGGACTCAAATCCTGCAGTGCGAGACGTGTCCCTTTGCTTAAGCCAGTACATGTCCAGGCCCGTCTGAAGTGCATTTGGATGATCCAGAAGAGGATTGGGAGAATGTCATATGGTCAGATGAAACCAAAATATAACTTTTTGGTAAAAACTCAACTCGTCATGTTTGGAGGACAAAGAATGCTGAGTTGCATCCAAAGAACACCATACCTACTGTGAAGCATGGGGTTGGAAACATCATGCTTTGGGGCTGTTTTTCTGCAAAGGGACCAGGACGACTGATCCGTGTAAAGGAAAGAATGAATGGGGCCATGTATCGTGAGATTTTGAGTGAAACCCTCCTTCCATCAGCAAGGGGATTGAAGATGAAACGTGGCTGGGTCTTTCAGCATGACAATGATCCCAAACACACCGCCCGGGCAACGAATGAGTGGCTTCGTAAGAAGCATTTCAAGGTCCTGGAGTGGCCTAGCCAGTCTCCAGATCTCAACCCCATAGAAAATATTTGGAGGGAGTTGAAAGTCTGTGTTGCCCAGCGACAGCCCCAAAACATCACTGCTCTAGAGGAGATCTGCATGGAGGAATGGGCCAAAATACCAGCAACAGTGTGTGAAAACCTTGTGAAGACTTACAGAAAACGTTTGACCTGTGTCATTGCCAACAAAGGGTATATAACAAAGTATTGAGAAACTTTTGTTATTGACCAAATACTTATTTTCCACCATCATATGCAAGTACTAGATCTCTGATCTGTCAGAAACAACACATCCCTCCCTGCAGACTGTCAACTGTTTCATCCTCCCAGAGCAGAGAGAGAGAGAGGACTCAACTGTCTTGTTTGCTAGCTGGTGTTAAGAGCAGTGGTTGTCTCAGTGGTGCCTTCAGGTGTGGTTAAAGGGATTAGACAAGGAAGCTGAAGTAATACCAAAGCCTAGTAAAGAAATGGAATGGACTACACCTCCTGTTCATCTCAATTAAACTGCTCTTTCAGGTGTTGTTGACTCAACCGTCTTGTTTTCAGAGAGATTTGTGTTTGACAATTTTAAAACACACATCGCAAAATTCATATGTATCATTTTTACATTTTAGTCATTTAGCAGACGCTCTTATCCAGAGCAACTTACAGTTAGTGATGGCAAACATTTTCATACTGCATGCATCCTCACCCTAGTGAACCATTGTTTGCTATTAACTGTCAAATATACTGAGGATTGACAGAAAGTACTATCGTTTTTGCTATGAAAACCGAATTAACCCTGTACCTCATATCATAGTGTAATACAGTGACATCAATTTACATGAGTATCAGATACCAGAATATTGCTCCTGTCCGGTATTCCCTGCTTAAAACAGATAATGACTTTACCAGCTCAGCCTAGCTATGTAAATTAGCCACGGGCTGATATCTGACTACTGAGCAGCTCTGTCTTTGAACCGCATGGCTGTGTCCCAAATGGCACCCTATTCCCTACATACCTCACTACTTTTGACTAGAGTCCTATGGGCCCTGGTCAAAAGTAGTGCACTATGTAGGGAATAGGGTGCCATTTGGGATGCATGCTATGTCTGTCTGAGGGAAGCAGACACCAAAGTACCTAGTCATCCAGTCATCTTCAATGCCCAGACAAATCTATTGGATTTAATGAAGGGGAGATTTTTAAATATTGTATTTAATTTGATGTAGCATTTTTATGAGGCAGCCCCCTCTCCCCCCATTCCCTATACTAAATCACATTAAGATGTTTAGAGTTTGTAGTCACTTTAACTCTTCTGCTTACAGTGTGTTTGTGTGGTTAGTTTGAAGGAATAGCTAGTGTTAATGAAGGCAAGACATTTCCATAAAATATTCAAAGAGGACCCATTAGTGCTGTGGCTGTTTAATCTTTGCTGCTAAACTTCAATCAGTTTTGCATTTGAAATGCATTAAATGCCTTGGTAATCTGGTCTGATCTGCAAAGCAATATTTTGTGAAACTGGTTTTGACGTAAGGGGAAACTTATATTATTAAACACAAAAAATATGTAACACTTAATTTTATGATGGGATTTTTTATTTCTCTCTTATAATTAAAATCCTTACTCATCAAGTACTTAAAACAAGCATGTAATTGTCTTGTTTATCAGAGCATTTAATGTTATTCTACTTATGAATCTTAAACAAATTACTCAAAAACACAGAATGAATGTCAATGCAATTGTAAAACTGCCTTACAAGTACATCAAGCATGTATTATTGTGTGCAAATGTTCTTTTTACTGAGCTAAATATATGTTAATAATGAGATGATATCTAAATACTATGTTTTAAAGCCACATTGCAGGGTCTTAGTTTCATTTTTGGTATCTACTCCTATGAGCTGTGCTGTCTGAAGGGCTGGTTTTCCATTAATAATGTTTGTTATGTGTATGTGTCTGTGTTTCTACCATGAGGTGTCAGTGTTGTGCTATGGCTGTTTAATAGTAACACCACGTTCCCTTCCTCTGATGCAGACGGGGAGGTGCAGACTGATGAATGCCCTTTAGAGAATGAAGACCAGTCTCCACAGAGTGACCTATCCACTGAAGAGATTAGACATACCTCTCCACAGAGTGACCTGTCCACTGAAGAGGTTAGACATACCTCTCCACAGAGTGACCTGTCCACTGAAGAGGTTAGACATACCTCTACACAGAGTGACCTGTCCACTGAAGAGGTTAGACATACCTCTCCACAGAGTGACCTGTCCACTGAACTGGTTAGACATACCTCTCCACAGAGTGACCTGTCCACTGAAGAGGTTAGACAAACCTCACACTTGCATACATTGCTTACTACTGTACAAGTGTTTCATGCTTTAAAAAAAGTGTACATTATTTTCACATCCATAGCACAAATACAAGTCCAACTGTTTGAATGTTCAACATATTCTTTCTGAAATACTTATGATAGGCTCATGATAATATAATCATATTAATTGTATAATGTACAATTCATTTCAGAAGCCAACAGAGGACATTATATCTACTGACACAGAGGAGAGTCCAGAGGGAGAAGAAGGTGTAAAGGAGGACACTGCAGAAGCTGAGAACTCCACAGAGGAACAAGGTGATAACAAGGAAGACTCTACTAAGACCACAGAGGTACAAGGTGATAACAAGGAAGACTCTACTAAGACCACAGAGGAACAAGGTGATAACGAGGAAGACTGTACTAAGACCACAGAGGAACAAGGTGATAACAAGGAAGACTCTACTAAGACCACAGAGGAACAAGGTGATAACGAGGAAGACTCTACTAAGACCACAGAGGAACAAGATGATAACAAGGAAGATTCTACTAAGACCACAGAGGAACAAGGTGATAACAAGGAAGATTCTACTAAGACCACAGAGGAACAAGGTGATAACAAGGAAGACTGTACTAAGACCACAGAGGAACAAGGTGATAACAAGGAAGACTCTACTAAGACCACAGAGGAACAAGGTGATAACAAGGAAGACTGTACTAAGACCACAGAGGAACAAGGTGATAACAAGGAAGACTGTACTAAGACCACAGAGGAACAAGGTGATAACAAGGAAGATTCTACTAAGACCACAGAGGAACAAGGTGATAACAAGGAAGACTGTACTAAGACCACAGAGGAACAAGGTGATAACAAGGAAGACTCTACTAAGACCACAGAGGAACAAGGTGATAACAAGGAAGACTCTACTAAGACCACAGAGGAACAAGGTGATAACAAGGAAGATTCTACTAAGACCACAGAGGAACAAGGTGATAACAAGGAAGACTCTACTAAGACCACAGAGGAACAAGGTGATAACAAGGAAGACTCTACTAAGACCACAGAGGAACAAGGTGATAACAAGGAAGACTCTACTAAGACCACAGAGGAACAAGGTGATAACAAGGAAGACTCTACTAAGACCACAGAGGAACAAGGTGATAACAAGGAAGACTCTACTAAGACCACAGAGGAACAAGGTGATAAGAAGGAAGACTCTACTAAGACCACAGAGGAACAAGGTGATAACAAGGAAGACTCTACTAAGACCACAGAGGAACAAGGTGATAACAAGGAAGACTCTACTAAGACCACAGAGGAACAAGGTGATAACAAGGAAGACTCTACTAAGACCACAGAGGAACAAGGTGATAACAAGGAAGACTGTACTAAGACCACAGAGGAACAAGGTGATAACGAGGAAGACTCTACTAAGACCACAGAGGAACAAGGTGATAACAAGGAAGATTCTACTAAGACCACAGAGGAACAAGGTGATAACAAGGAAGACTCTACTAAGACCACAGAGGAACAAGGTGATAACAAGGAAGACTCTACAGACAGTGTGGTTGGGGAGATGAGCCTGCAGACCAAGCTACAGGGGAGTCTGGAGAATCTGGTCCTGGAGGAATGAAGGATGGAGAGGGGAAGGAGGGAGAGAAGGAGGAGGCGGCACCGGATAAAGCTGAGGAGGGTGGAGAAGCAGGGGAGGACGGTCCATCTTCAACAGATGGAAAAGAGGAGAAAGAGAAAGTGGACAGAGGACGAGATTATTCATACCATGAGGAAAAGAGAGATGAGGAGGAAGTAGACAAAGAACCTGGAACTGAGACCGATTCTGAGACAGAGGAGGGAGGAAGTAGACAAGGAACCTGGAACTGAGACAGATTCTGAGACGGAGGAGGGAGGAAGTAGACAAGGAACCTGGAACTGAGACAGATTCTGAGACAGAGGAGGGAGGAAGTAGACAAGGAACCTGGAACTGAGACAGATTCTGAGACAGAGGAGGGAGGAAGTAGACAAGGAACCTGGAACTGAGACAGATTCTGAGACGGAGGGGGGAGGAAGTAGACAAGGAACCTGGAACTGAGACAGATTCTGAGACAGAGGAGGGAGGAAGTAGACAAGGAACCTGGAACTGAGACAGATTCTGAGACAGAGGAGGGAGGAAGTGAAAAAGAAGATACAACGAAATAAAAATTAAAAGAGGGTGATGCTTCGGAGACAGGAGAAGATAGAGAGGCTAATGGAGAGAAGGATGCAGGTAAAAAGGAAGAGGAGGAAGATGCAGCTACTTCAAAAGATGCAAAAAACAGACGAGTCTGCAAAGGAGAAAGGAGAGGGGGTGAGAAAGAGGAGAGAAACGAGGAGGGAGAATCAGAATCCCATTCCAGTGAAGAGGAAGAAACGGAGACCAAGTAAAAGGTTCTAATTAGAAAAGTAAAGAAGCAAAGAAGTGCTGAAGTGGTGTTTAGAAAAGCCTTAGGGTCAAGGGTGGTAAGACAAACATGTAGGAAACAAAGAAAAATATGATTATAATCGAAGACAAAAAACTATATTAGATACAGGGTTCTCACCAGGATTTTTTAACAAGGTGGTGCTGCTGAGCAAAGCGCCCCTCTTACATTCTTTGGGGAATACCCTGGATATCATATTACATTTACGTCATTTAGCAGACGCTCTTATCCAGAGCGACTTATAGTTAGTGAGTGCATACATTTTTCATACTGGCCCCCTGTGGGAAACGAACCCACAACCCTGGCGTTGCAAGTGCCATGCTCTACCAACTGAGCTACAGGGGACTATGGCATTATATGTGAGATGATATATGAATGGTTGTATGGTTGCATAGGGGTACACAGCTATATGGGAGTTTATATTTGAAGTATAGTGTAAACGTATGCCGACGTCACCAGGGAGAAGATAATCCAACTGCTGTTAAATAAATTACGCAGTGCCTTTTTTCATCAAATAACCATGTAAATCTATGGTAACTAATTGTTCTTAAATGGTAATTAAGTAGTGAGTGATGATAAATGACTAACTTCAAATAGTTTCCTAGTGTTCAAGTGGTTATTATCTGGTGAAATACTGTAAAAGGAAGCGCTATACTCTTGAGAGATGTGTCTGTTAGGCTTTTAATGTAACATTATGTTCTGTACTCTGTGAATGATATAAAGGAATGAGAGAGAGACAGACAGACGGAGAGGGAGAGATGGAGATGGAGAGGGAGAGAGAGAGAGAGGAAGAGATAGAGAGAGAGCGAGAGAGGGAGGGAGACAGAGAGAGAGAGGAAGAGGGAGAGAGGGAGAGAGAGAGGAAGATGGAGAGAGAGGGAGAGAGAGATATATACAGTGGGGAAAAAAATTTATTTAGTCAGCCACCAATTGTGCAAGTTCTCCCACTTAAAAAGATGAGAGAGGCCTGTAATTTTCATCATAGGTATATGTCAAAAATGACAGACAAATTGAGGGAAAAAAAATCCAGAAAATCACATTGTAGGATTTTTAATGAATTTATTTGCAAATTATGGTGGAAAATAAGTATTTGGTCAACTACAAACAAGCAAGATTTTGGGCTCTCACAGACCTGTAACTTCTTCTTTAAGAGGCTCCTCTGTCCTCCACTCGTTACCTGTATTAATGGCACCTGTTTGAACTTGTTATCAGTATAAAAGACACCTGTCCACAACCTCAAACAGTCACATTCCAAACTCCACTATGGCCAAGACCAAAGAGCTGTCAAAGGACACCAGAAACAAAATTGTAGACCTGCACCAGGCTGGGAAGACTGAATCTGCAATAGGTAAGCAGCTTGGTTTGAAGAAATCAACTGTGGGAGCAATTATTAGGAAATGGAAGACATACAAGACCACTGATAATCTCCCTCGATCTGGGGCTCCACGCAAGATCTCACCCCGTGGGGTCAAAATGATCACAAGAACGGTGAGCAAAAATCCCAGAACCACACGGGGGGACCTAGTGAATGACCTGCAGAGAGCTGGGACCAAAGTAACAAAGCCTACCATCAGTAACACACTACGCCGCCAGGGACTCAAATCCTGCAGTGCCAGACGTGTCCCCCTGCTTAAGCCAGTACATGTCCAGGCCCTGTCTGAAGTTTGCTAGAGTGCATTTGGATGATCCAGAAGAGGATTGGGAGAATGTCATATGGTCAGATGAAACCAAAATAGAACTTTTTGGTAAAAACTCAACTCGTCTGTGTTTGGAGGACAAAGAATGCTGAGTTGCATCCAAAGAACACCATACCTACTGTGAAGCATGGGGGTGGAAACATCATGCTTTCGGGCTGTTGTTCTGCAAAGGGACCAGGACGACTGATCCGTGTAAAGGAAAGAATGAATGGGGCCATGTATCGTGAGATTTTGAGTGAAAACCTCCTTCCATCAGCAAGGGCATTGAAGATGAAACGTGGCTGGGTCTTTCAGCATGACAATGATCCCAAACACACCGCCCGGGCAACGAAGGAGTGGCTTCGTAAGAAGCATTTCAAGGTCCTGGAGTGGCCTAGCCAGTCTCCAGATCTCAACCCCATAGAAAATCTTTGGAGGGACTTGAAAGTCCGTGTTGCCCAGCGACAGCCCCAAAACATCACTGCTCTAGAGGAGATCTGCATGGAGGAATGGGCCAAAATACCAGCAACAGTGTGTGAAAACCTTGTGAAGACTTACAGAAAACGTTTGACCTGTGTCATTGCCAACAAAGGGTATATAACAAAGTATTGAGAAACTTTTGTTATTGACCAAATACTTATTTTCCACCATAATTTGCAAATAAATTCATTAAAAATCCTACAATGTAAATTTTCTGGATTTTGTTTCCTCATTTTGTCTGTCATAGTTGACGTGTACCTATGATGAAAATTACAGGCCTCTCATCTTTTTAAGTGGCAGAACTTGCACAATTGGTGGCTGACTAAATACTTTTTTCCCCCACTGTATATTACTGCCTTAGTGTGTATACTTATTATTTGTTCCTGTATCTGTGTGTGAAAACGGGTATGTTTATGCTTTATGCTTTATGCTTTATGCTTATGCCATTACATTTTGTACGATTTGCCAGTCTTTTACCATATAGTGGTTAGTATGATGAATAAGCTACAATGTGTAATACTGTACCTCATCAAGCAATAAGAATGAAAGAAGACAATATTGTCCTTTTTTTTTGTTTCTGCATCGTGGTGCTTCACCCTGTAAAAGATAATCTGTTCTCTGAAACTGTCTTGTAACAGAAGTTGAATAAACTGAAACATAGAAAAACAATATGTGTATGTATTGAAATGATTTATAATTGACAAATAACACTAGTTCACCTTTGAACCTTTTACTGCAGTGGGCTAAATCAGGGTCACACAGAGTGATTCTTGGTAGTCTTAAACAAATCTACTTTGAAACAAAAGTATACACCTCACACACATGGTTATGGGCTTAAAAAAAAGAAGACACCTGTACCATGTCAGATATAGAGTTGAAATGTATACCATTTTGAGTAGTTTACATCCCAATATTACACTTAATATATACTGAATAAAAATATAAATTTAACATGCAATTTCAAAAGATTTGACTGAGTTACAGTTCATGTAAGGAAATCAGTCAATTGAAATAAATGTATTAGGCCCTAATCTATGGATTTCACATGACTGGGCAGGGGTCGCAACCATGCCGGGCCTAGCCAATCAGAATGAGTTTTTCCCCACAAAAGGGCTTTATAACAGACAGAAATACTCCACAGCACCTGTGTAATAATCACTCTATTTAATCAGCTTCTTGATATGCCCCACCTATCAGGTGGATGGATTATTATGACAAAGGAGAAATGCTCACTAATAGGGATGTAAATACATTTGTGCACCAAATTTGAGAGAAATAAACTTTTTGTGCAGGATTTTTTATTTAAGCTTTATGAAACGTGGGACCAACACTTTACATGTTGCATTTATATTTTTGTTCAGCATATATATATTTTTGTTCAGTATATATATATATATATATATATATATATAAACTCAGCAAAAAAAGAAACGTCCCTTTTTCAGGACCCTGTCTTTCAATCCAAATAACTTCACAGATCTTCATTGTAAAGGGTTTAAACACTGTTTCCCATGCTTGTTCAATGAACCATAAACAATTAATGAACACGCACTTGTGGAACGGTCGTTAAGACACTAACAGCTTACAGACGGTAGGCAATTAAGCTCACAGTTATGAAAACTTAGGACACTAAAGAGGCCTTTCTACTGACTCTGAAAAACACCAAAAGAAAGATGCCCAGGGTCCCTGCTCATCTGCATGAACGTGCCTTAGGCATGCTGCAAGGAGGCATGAGGACTGCAGATGTGGCCATGGAAATAAATTACAATGTCCGTACTGTGAGACGCCTAAGACAGCGCTACAGGGAGACAGGACGGACAGCTGATCATCCTCGCAGTGGCAGACCACGTGTAACAACACCTGCACAGGATCGGTACATCCAAACATCACACCTGCGGGACAGGTACAGGATGGCAACAACAACTGCCCGAGACTGTCCGCAATAGGCTGAGAGAGGCTGGACTGAGGGCTTATAGGCCTGTTGTAAGGCAGGTCCTCACCAGACATCACCGGCAACA